CAATCAGCCCCCACCACACTGATTGGCCCGCAGCCCCTCCCCCAAGCCAGCCCCACCCCGATTGGCCCCTCCCACACCAATCGGGGGTGGGTCCAGCCTGCCCACCGCCCACAGCCCCTCCCCACAGTTGGCTCCGCCCCCAATTGCCCCCCCCCACTTGGGGGTGGGCCAGCTAGCCAACTTCCTGCTGTCTCCCCCACAGTCCTGGCCCCAATCCGATTGGGGCTGGGCAGGCCGGACCTCACCCATGCATGAATTTGTGCACTGGGACTCTATAATAATAAAAGCGGAACATGCTAATTAGATCAGACAGCCAAACGACCTTCCAGACGTCATTCTGGACAGAGCCGAGGCAGAGGCAGTTAGGGGCAATGAGGCAGGCAGGCAAGTGGTTAGAGGCAATGAGGCAGGCAGGCAGGCAGGCCAGCGGTTAGGACAGCAGTGGGCAAACTACGGCCCGCGGGCCGGATCCGGCCCGTTTGAAATGAATAAAACTAAAAAAAAAAAAAAGACTGTACCCTTTTATGTAATGATGTTTACTTTGAATTTGTATTAGTTCACACAAACACTCCATCCATGCTTTTGTTCCGGCCCTCCGGTCCAGTTTAAGAACCCATTGTGGCCCTCGAGTCAAAAAGTTTGCCCACCCCTGGGTTAGGAGCTAGCGGTCTTGGATTGCAAGAGGGTGCAGGCCAGGCTGAGGGACCCCATCCCACCCCCGTGCACAAATTTTGTGCACCAGGCCTCTAGTCCGATATACTAAAGAGCTAATATGCTAATTAGACCTGACAGCGGAACGGCCTTTTGGAACAACCAGTGGGTGAGGCTGCGAGGCAGCCGGGGCCATAAGGGCCGAGGCAGCCAGGGCTGTGAGGGCCGAGCCCCTCAGTCCGATATAATAAAGAGCTAATATGCTAATTAGACCTGATAGCGGAACGGCCTTTTGGAACAACCAGTGGGTGAGGCTGCAAGGCAGCCAGGGCTGTGAGGGCCGAGCCCCTTGCATGAATTTCGTGCATCCGGCCTCTAGTTAAATATAATGATGTAAAAACATTTTAAAGGCATGCCGGGGTCCAGCCCCAGTGGTCCAGGGGTTCCCAAAGGTGTGGACGGAGTTGGCGAAGAATGTTTTACACGGAGACAGCGTTCGGAACTCTCTAGCTCTCTTTAGTCTCCGTGGCTCTTCCTGTGCCTGGCTGAGGCCACAGAGAAAGATCCCGAGGCAAGCTGAGCCTTTATTTTTATAGTCAGAGGTAAACAAGGTAGTGGTTGCCCATTAGCTTCCCAGGTAAGATCTAGGGAGCGTCATAAGGTCAAGCCTAATTATGCTTAAGAGGACTGTGCCCTCCAAGCTGGGACTTGTTTGTGACTTTGCCAACAGGTCAGTCCGAGGTTTAACCCTATAGCGGCTCCCCACAAAGGAGGAAAATTGGAGAGAGAGGGCTAGCGAGGTTCAGATTCTCTATTTTAAAAAACACTTTTCCTCAAAATTCAATAATATAGGATTTGGGATGTACCAGTAAAAAGCAAATGTCTTTTTTTCTAGCATAGGAATGGCAACTTAGTGCACTTTCTTAAAATTTTTAAATTACCATTGTTATAGAAAAGCCATTCAGACAAAACAGTTTATGGCATAGACAATAGAACTCTTCTCACCTAGTTACTAATTTATAACTATAATTCAGTTATAACTAATATTGGACTAAATAGAGCAAGTCAGGTTCCATAAACAGTTGTTCCCATTATAAAAATTCGTACTGTAGGGGAAATGTACATTTATTCACGGATCTAGTTCCTTGAGGGCAGAGATGTGTAGCCTCCTCATTTCTGTATCCTAGCTCAGACCCTGGCTCATAAATGCTCAGTCAGTTTTGCTGAAAGAAAGTGTGGAGCAATCAGAGCCACAGGCTCTTTGGGGAATCTTGCCCTTCAGCTAGCATGGCAAGGAAAACTCACTGCAAGTATGTTTGGTTTCCATCAGGCAAATAGTGGTCCCAGTACAAATGGCTGCCAGTTCTTCATCACCTGCTCTAAGTGTGATTGGCTGGATGGGAAGCACGTAGTGTTTGGTGAGTCCTACTCCTGTTCTATGGTCCTGGGCCCATTCACTCAAAGTGGGACTCCCAAAAGAGCCAGTCCCCACACTCTCATACCCAGAGGTCTTGACTTGTTTAACTGCTCTGTGCAGTAGTGGGGAAAGTGGACGTGGAAGTGGGAGGTGGGGAGAATGTGTAAGGACAAAGGGGCCATCTGGTAAAGTGCATAGCCACTTGGGTGATATGTATGTCTAAGGGGAAAACCCCCAGATGGTAGTATTTAAGAAATACCACACAGGCAGCATGGTGCAGTGGAGCTTTGCAATTGCTCAGATCTAGGTTTGAGCCCTAATTCTGCTGCTTACTATCTGTGACCTTGGGTAAGTCGTTTCACCTCCATGGGATCTCAATTTCCTGAAATTGGTATGGGGATCAAATGAGACAGTGGTGTGAGAAGGGGCATTGGAAGCTGGAAAATGCTATGCAAATGAGAATAGTAAAATCCAGTTCATACTCTTCCTACAGGAAAAATCATTGATGGACTTCTAGTGATGAGAAAGATTGAGGTAAGTCCTGTTTTGATTTCCTCTTCCTCAGCCATTCTGATCTGGTACTACCTGACTAGTGTCGAGAGCTAGAGAATCCTGAGTGGCTTCAGTTTGTTAGGCCCAGTCTTCATCCATTACCTCTATTACATGGACTTCCTCAAGGGAAGGGAGGAGAGACCACATGCCTCCCAAGTGCTTTTGGCCTATAATTAGCCTCTTGATTGCACACTGAGATTTGGGCTGTGGTGGCCCCTTCACCTACTTGATAAAATCCTACTCGGCACTGCATTCAAGATCCCTCCTGACCTCATCCCTGCCTCTCTCTTCACAGCCCTTCTGCCACTGCCACCTCCATGTTCCAGTCACATTAGGCTACTTGAGCTTTCCTCTAAATGTGCCATACATCCCTGCCTCCTTTTCCTTCTTGCCCCTGAGCCGTTGCTCATGCTGTTTTCCTTTACCTGGAATGCTCTTCTCCTTTCTTTTCCTCTTCCCATTTATCCTTCTTAATCCAGCTCAAATAATCCCCTATTCTATGAATCCTGTGAATCCCTCTTTAAGCAACATTTAATTGCTTCCTCTGCCCTGTATACACTTTCTTATAACTTATTACATATCATAGACTTGATATATTTTAAATGTATGTTTTATTTTTTATCTGTATTATATGCTTTACCTATCTGTTAGGACATGGACTGTTGTCATATCAGTCTCTGAGCCCTCAGTCCTTAGCACAGGGGCTGGCAGACATCAGTAAATGTTTGGTGAGTGTCTGAGTATCTGAATCTCCACTGTGCTTTCTGTCTTAGAATGTTCCCACAGGCCCCAACAATAAGCCCAAGTTGCCTGTGGTGATCTCACAGTGTGGGGAGATGTAATCCAGAGCAAGACGGAATCAGGTAAGTGTGTCTTTCTCTTCCTGGTTTGGAGTCACCCCAGAGAAGGCAGTTTGGTCTAGCAGAGAGAACCTTAGACTTGAAGACATGGGATTGAGCCCATTTCCTCTCTGGGTGACCTAGCAAAAGTCACTTCCCTTCTCTGAGCCTGTTTCCTCATCTGTCAAATGGAGATAATTCCTCTCTCCTATGGTCACTGTAAGGACAAAAAAGAAAGGGTTATTAGAGCACTTTACTTTTCTACCACTTTGTAGTTTACAAAGTATCAAACTAAAAGCCATAAGGCAGTTTCTGATAGCGTTCTCAGACTGTAGTCCTACTAGAAAGATCTGGCACCAGCTCTGGGTGACTCCCTGCTGGGTCAGCCTAAGTGGCCAGGAGATAGGCCTGTCATGCTTCTCATCAGAACTGATGGGCAATTCCAGGTCCTGACTTTGTATTTGCCAGCTTCACAGGTAAACATGACACATTTCTCAACCTCAACTCCTACCCATTTTTGCCACTGCCGGCTCTGTGCTGGCATCATGCTGGGCATGCAGAGAGGTGCAAAGAATTGAAAGATGCCTCTACCTTTCAGGAGCTTACAGGGAATAAGACACATTCTGAGAGGTGATCACTAGTAATTTGAGTGACATTGCTAAGTGTCATAAGAATTCAAGGGAGAAATTGATCCCTTCCAGCTAAAATGGCGCGCTCTCGCTCGCGCGCTCTCTCTCTCTCTCTCTCTCTCTCTCTCTCTCATTTTCAGGCCTGTAGCAAAGTTGGAAGAATAGTACATTCAACACCCATATACCTTTCACCTAGATTCACCAGTGATTAACATTCTTACTTTATCATTTTGCTTTGACATTTGACATTTGTTTTTTTCTTTCCCTCTAATATCCCCTCATATTCCCATTCCATCTCCTCCTCTCTGCTGCTTTCCTTCCTTCCTTCCTTCCTTCCTTCCTTCCTTCCTTCCTTCCTTCCTTCTTTCCTTCCTTCCTTCCATTTCTTCCCATTTGAAAATTGAAGATTTCTTGACACTTTACCCATAAATACTTCAGTAAGCAACTGCTGAAAACAAGAACATCCTAAACAACCACAATAACATCTAATATACCTGTTCAAACTCCCCCAGTTACTCACAGTGTAACTTTTATACCTATAGGAAAATTCATCCAATCAAGGTTCACATATTTCCTTTGGTTGGTTATTAAGTAACATTATATAATCTTGTAAAAATTTTCACACAAAAGTTAAAGTT